AGCTACCGCGTTAACGGCCGCACGAGCCCGTAGGTACTGGTGGTTTAAAATTGAAATATTTTGCTGGCATAACGGAATTGAGCTTCGAAGGGTGTTGGGATTTGATCATCCTCCAACGAGTGAACTAACCATGTTCTGGTGTAATCATCCTCCAATGAACATACGCTAATCTGGTCGCATAAACGACTAGATACATCCAAAAGTCTCAATGGAGAGCATGTAAGATGAAGGTACGGCGTCCTACCTCTGAAGGTACGGCATCCGTGATGCATCCAAAATCTGGCCCAAAAGGCTGGAAAAAAAAAAACACTCAATTTTGTCACGCCAGCAAAATATTTCCATTTTAACTTAAAAAAGGCAGTTAGGAGGTGACCTGGCGACATAGCAGCAAAGCGAGACTACCGGAGTGACTGACACAATCATCTCCGTGATAGTTGGGAACTACCTTCTTCACCCGAATACAACGAACGTACGGTCATTATGGCTGTATTTAGACGGCAAGATAGCCCTAATACAGCGATAATGACGGTACGTTGTATTCGGGTTAAGACTGTAGCGTTAACATCTGACAACCCGACTTTGAGCCACCAGTACTTCCGAAGTTCCGAGGCACTTTACCCCCGGGGGCTGGAAACGCGCTGCGGGCCAAAAAAAAGGAACTGGCGCGGGACTCCTTCTGGGTGGTGCGGCCAGGCATTTTGCTCCAGCGGCAGAGCGCTGTAAGCTGCGGCAGCACGCAAGTCGCAATTTTGAAAACATGGGGGGGGGGGAAATACTGGTGGTTTAGACCACCAGGACGTATCCCAGCAAAGAAATCAAATATGCAGCTTGCATGCAGCTGCAAATGTCAGGAAGTACCGGGGCGCCATTGCGCTGGATATCTATCCAGGCAAAATGAGCCGCACATGCGACCTATTTTGCCTGGATGGATATCCAGCGTAACGACACCCTGTACTTCCCGAGAATCACGGCTGGATGCGCGTCGCTCACCCGGATCCGAACTTGGGTGGGTATTTTAACAGTTGGTGGGTCTACCAACTGAGCTACCTTCATCCCCTCGATATAGGCATCCACCGCACGGGACACGAAACGAAGAACGAAACGAGTGCATCTTCCTGCAGAAAATGGCCAGGTTCATCGGTTTGCTATAAATGGTAACGAGTGCATTTTGCCACCTTTCGCGGGCAGATGCACTTGTTTCTTTTTCGTTTCGTGTGCCTTTCGGCGAGACCCGCAATGTATGGTCTATCAAGTCTGACCCTCCGGCTACCAGTATGCCGAGCATTGTAGCAGGAAAGTCGCCGCTTCTAAAAACAAGAAAAAGAACAAAAAGTAAAGAAAATTTGCGAAATGCCCCCATAGTTGAGATATGTGCCACAATGCCCCTGAAAGACGTGGGTAGAGCGGAATGCCCCTCTGACAAAAAGAAAAATTTGTGAAATACCCCTCGTGTCGCTTGGACCCCTCATCTTTCTGATATACCCCTACCGGGTACAATCCAACTTTGCAAAATACCCAGAACTTGGCAACTGTCCTAAGGCGCAGTTGCAAAATGTCATGCCCAAACGGTGAGGTCCAGATCGCAAATTTGCACACCTGCCTGACAGGGGCATAACACAAAGATTTTGGCCCAAAAGGACATTCCGCTCTATCCACATCTTTCAGGGGCATTTTGGCATATATCTCAACTTTCGGGGGTATTTCGCAAATTATCCAAAATAAAAATAACAAACGAGATTCTAAAAACAAAACAAAAGGAAAACAACCAAATGAAACGTTAGAGAGATTTATCCGCTTTGAAAGAAAAAAAAAAAGAAGGCGGAGAGAGAGAGAGAGAGAGAGAGAGAGAGAGAGAGAGAGAGAGAGAGAGAGAGAGAGAGAGAGAGAGAGTTTGTCGAACTCTCTCTCTCTCGCGCGCGCGTGAGCGGGCCACGCTGTTCGAATCTGCAAAATGGGAAATCCAATGAATATTCCCGTGCTGTCGAGAAGATTCACGGGAAGATTCTATGTCATTTGCAGATTGGACGTGCCTCTCTCTCTCTCTCTCTCTCTCTCTCTCTCTCTCTCTCTCTCTCTCTCTCTCTCTCTCTCTCTCTCTCTCTCTCTCAAACACACACACACACAAACACACACAAACACACACAAACACACACACACACATTCTGTTGTCTACTGGTGGGGAGCGGCACCTGCTGGAAACTGGGTCCAGCGTCCCATGAACATCTCCGGTCCCAGACATGGGACGGAGCTGTCCGCGCATTGGACAGTTGGTAGCCTAGGAAATTAGTGATGTGTTTGCTGTTTTTCTTGTTAGCAAGTTTTGAAAGTTTTTCTTTTGGGAGCATCCTTTCCCCCCCCCCCCCCCTTACTATGGTCTTCCCCTGAACATAACACACCCTGATAATGAATGTATCAGAGCTATATTTCCGGTCAGATACAGCCAAAATAAGGGTGTGTTGTGTCGCGGGAAGACGGTAGGCTTTTGTGGCTCTCTTTATTGACTTACCGTGAGGGCACGGGTGCGCAGCCCGTAGTTCGTTTGTTTATGTGGTTCGCGAAGGGTAAGGTAGTGATTATGCTATATGTATGTTTTGTCATGTTCGCTATATATAACTCGAAGAGAGTGCGTGTGAGGTCCCGGTTGGTGCTTCATTGACGATGTTCATGGGACGCTGGACCCAGTTTCCAATAGGTGGCGCTCCCCATCAATAGACAGGAGAATGTATGTGTG